TATTACTCGCAGCGACTAGACGTGAGCTGTGAGCTTAATTTAAGGCCTTAGGCCAGTAAGGAATCGTTTCTTCATATCATGAGTGGAACTGAGAAAAAGCAATATATAATATATATCAAAGTAGCCAAGACCGCGGGGGTTAAAGGGCAATCACAGGTGACAGATGCTAAACATGTACGTCTTCATAGACCGCAGGTAAATTAATTATATAACACAAGTTTTTGCTATCAGATTTCATATCAAGTCTGTTTACTGCTAGGCGCATTTACCACATTATATAGACTATATACACAGATTTATTATACTAAGAAACCAAAACTTTATAAAAATATAGAACTGTCAGTGGCCAAAGTCCATTCAGTGAAAAACGCACGAATCAATGCAAAAAAACGAAGATTAGAACACCAAATCGTTTTGAAAAGTTGTTCTACAAGCCGGACTGCCGAAGCGAAGGCCTTTCAATACTTGTGCTCCCACGACCCACGTATACATGAAACATCACTTGATGCAAACTATGTCCACTTTTGAAGACCCGCTAGAAAAATTGATGGCCATGCACGTAGTGAGTTTTAATTGCGCGTGAGTAGTGAGGTGAGACGGATTTATGAAAACTGCGCATACAAATGCGCACGACCACAATTCCATGCGACGCTAAAAATCTGCTTTTTTACTACCTACTGCACAAATTAGACTGCTGCTTCGCTCGCTCGCTCCGCAGCAAAGAATGGACATCAGATTAGTATAGGTAATCACACGGGAAGGAGTGCAATTAATGATTAACACTACGAGTGACATTTGCCAAATGTGCCAAATTGCACTAGCCTACGGTGTAGACCCCAGCAGAAACACGTTTCGTGAGGGGTCTACGAATAAACGAAGAAAAGCTTGCCCGGCCTACGTCATATCCGTTTTGCGTTTTGGGTAAATTAACTTCAATTTATTCAAATCTCTGAAGCGTGCGTGAATGTAAATTTTCATTTGGCGCTTATTAAAATGTTCCATGGCGGGCTTTGTGCAATAAAATATACCCTGACTATATATATACCCAACCATTAAACACATATTCGAACGGACTAAAAAGTTCTTGTCATTCGTACAAACTGTTAGGCTTGAAGGCTTAAAACTTGTCAAGATATCTAATTTCCGAAGTCGAAGACAAAGTCGATTTCACACTATTAAATGTAGCCGGCATAAAAGCTTTATCGCAAGTCGGCTCGAATCCTAGTTGGTTCACGACATTTATCAATAGCGTTTAATGCTGTTTCGGGCACGTTGGTTATCGTATTGTCTAGGCTCTAGCTCACATATTAAACCGTTCTTTGAAGCTTCTCCGTTTCACCGTTTGTTTACCAATGCCAGGCGGCCAGGCATGCTTTACAAATGCTATTTGTAGGTGAAATGGAGAAGGAAAGGTCGTCTTACACTCTAACTCCTTACGTACAGTGTCCTTGCTGTCCAAGAATTTTATTCGACGGAACTTTGAAGCAAAGAACACATTTGTATTGGACAAAGCCCGCCATGGATTCATAGAACATTTTAATGCCTTTAATAAGCGCCAAATGAAAATTTACATTCACGCACGCTTCAGAAATTTGAATAAATTGAAGTTAATTTACCCAAAACGTAAAACGGATATGACGTAGCCTGGCAAGCTTTTCTTCGTTTATTCGTAGACCCCTCACGAAACGTGTTTCTGCTGGGGTCTACACCGTAGGCTAAATTGCACACGCCCCCGCGAGTATTTATTATACGCAATCGTGTTCTTTAAAATTCAATTGTATTTTGTCAAGAGATTTTAATTCTTTTGAAAGCAATTTGGCATAAACAAACTTGGTAAATGATCATAAACTCATAAAGGCACATAACTTAAACTAGAACACATGAATCAAACTGGGAACGAGGTTGTATGCTGAACACAAGAGTGCGTAATTAACACAATTGAATTGAATTTTTAATTACCAGTCGAATAAAATACTGTATATGATAAATTTCCCTAGAGGGTACTTTGTTTGGGACACCCTGTATATAGATCGGTGATGGAAATGGTTTGCCTCTTTATTTTCCTGAACTTTAAAGTTTTTAGCGACATTCAGATTCTTTTGTGCGCATTTTATTCGGCTTTTTAACGTAAACTTTATTTATAGTAACAAATCGGGAAGCCATGTATTTTGTGTTGAAATTTTGGACTTTATAAGCCGTGTTTCCTTCTTATTAGCCAAACGTTGCATGCATAATGACCCCGTACTATTACTGTTTTACGACATGTTTTTTAAAACTCACAAATATTATTTTTCAAGTCATTCATTGGGAACAACACTGAGTAGTTGTCAACAAGGCGAGATGTCGCCAAGGGCAAAGCCAAAGGAAGCCATTTATGAAACGCTCATTTCGTTAAAATATTATTTTATATACATCAAAATCAAGTTAAAAATTCAGTTTTCTTTATGTGGTTTATACGAAAACAATTAGACAATTCAGCCTCGTTGTCTCTGAGCGAATAGTCAACTCGGTTTCGTCTCGTGACTATTCGCTCATAGACAACTCGGCTTCGTGGTTTAATTGTTAAATACATTACATATTACGTTAAATATATATTACATTAGTCTTCATTACATAGCATTGCTCTTTCGCAGGTTAGGGTTGGGCATGGTCAAAAGGCCGATCGGTAGAGTAGATTGTATAAACTTTAGAACACCCTACATCATACAATACGCAAATACTTACGGGTTTGTTATCCTGACAACCGTCTGGAAGTTTATCACCAGTTAAACCAATTCTAATCCAATCATCTCTGCCCATACGACCACAACAGCTATACTAGATTAACAGAAAATGACCAATTATAGGCTATAGCGCAATTTAGGAATCATAGATGAGCTTTCCACTCTATCACATTCCAGAGATTACGCGGGCACACATAGGCACTTATCCACAAATGATGAGTAAAGAAAACGCTATGTAGTTACAACCAAACACCGCGGTCAAATTAACGTAAAGCTCAAGCGCGAGTATACGAACTGAAAATGGCGGGGAAAATATCTGCCAAAATAATACGAGTAAACACCGGAAAACGAAATTTAATGCGTTCACCATAATATAAGGAAACAGCTGAAGCTATAAGGTAGGGAATTTCATTTCCTTGTGACAAGACGAAGTTAATTTATACTGAGTTTTAACACTCATAATTTTGTTTAAACCTTTTGCCAGAGCTTCGCGAAGATAATAAAATTTCCAATCTTTTGAATGCCAGCAGTAAATACGCGCGAACGTTTGACTGCGGACCTGCGGTGTTATATTACAACCACCATTGTTAGCAGTCGCTAAAACCACGAGTGTTTGGAATTAGTTTAAATATGCATTTCGCAAGTTGTTTACCGTATTCCAATAGCCGGTTCCCCTTATTCGCGAAAGGCCGCAAAGGATTGTGGTAAATGTATTCAGCAAGCTCCAATATGGCGTCCAATTTTATTGACGAGGACCCATCTACTTCTAGCGTTATTTCTCTGTCATCTCAGCCAAACTCTAGTTCTTTTCAGAACTCTTGCACGAGTTTGGTTTCTGAGATACCAGTAGAAGGTTCATTTGATGTGGAAAACGTTTGTCCGAACAGTAATGTCGAAGGAAATGTTGACATCAATCAGAGTGGAAATGGCTGGACTCGATCTCTGATTAATCTTCCGGCCTTTGAATACGCGTTTATTCACGAGCATTTGGTGGAAAATTCGGAGACAATGCCCGATAATCGTCCTACTGGCGCCCATCGCCACAAGAAAATGGGATATCGCTTATTTAAAGAGAATTATGTAAAAAATTTTCGTGTCAAACCGAATGTACAAGCCAACTCCAAACTCTTTTTGGTTAAGAGCCTTGTGTGCGCGTCCATGAAACAGCAATCATACACTGTCTATGTCCACCTCTCCCAAACA